CCTAGGATCAAGCCCTTGGCATCCTTGGCCTCGCGAAGATCCTGGAGCCAACTCTTTTGGTGCTTGGGGCTTAGGGTTTAGGGTTTAGGGTTTAGGGTTTAGGGTTTAGGGTTTAGGGGGGGGGTGGGGGGGTAGTATATAATATCCCGATACAATCCCTGTATAACAACAAAGGCTAAGCTATAGTTCCCATGATAATCGACAAGTCAGACACATATATAGGTCTGCAGAAATACTCGCCGTGAAATCCGCTTATCATCGTCCCTTCGCGCATGCAATCAAACTACAGTCTACCCCAACTTCAAACGAAATCCCTACTCTATCTAGTTCAAAGGCCTTCAATCCAACATTCAAAAGCTTAGGCTCAAGGAACGGTGGGGCAGATTAGGGTGGCATGAGCGGCCATGGTGCTTATGCCACCACTTGCCAGGCGCATGGAGCTTAGGGTTTAGGGAATCTCAAGAAGTACCGACTTCCACATATCTTCACACAAAGAACCCTGGTGTAGGAGTTGTATCAGTTAGAGTAGGCTGTTGGGGTGTACCGTAATTGACTCTGGTTAAACCCCGAGAAGAAAAGGTCCTTGTAGCGTGACGTCTACGCCAAGCCCTGAACCCTAAACCCTACCTATAGTCTCCATTGCAGTTCCTTTTACGGGTTCAACAATAAAACTGGTTCAACCCAAAAAAAAATTGAACTGCAATGGAGACTATAGTAGACCCTAAACCCTGAAGCCATCCTTTGTGAACTAAACCCGAAGCCCTAAGCCTTAAACCCTAAACCCGAAAGCATAAACCCTAAGCTCTAAACCCTAAACCCCAAAGCATAAACCCTTAACCCTATAAACCCTAAAGCCCTAAACCTTAAACCCTAAAACCCTAAACCCTAAAACCCAAAACCCCAAACCTATAAACCCTAAAACCCCAAACCCTATAAACCCTAAAACCCTAAACAACTAAGCTACTAAGCTCCAGGGTTCCTGTTTCGGTTCTCGGGCCTTACAATAAGTAGAGTTATGAGTGCCCTAAATCCTAATTGGGGTTGTGGTCCTTATAACTCTATAAAAGTAACTACTTACTAAGCCCCCCGACCCCCCAAGTACGCCTTTTGGCTCCAAGCCTTGTCCCAGGGCGTCCTTGGCGCGGAGACGCCAGAAGACGTAGGGTTTCATGCAGGGTTTAGGGGTCCTTTCAGGGTGTACTTAAAGGATCATGGGACTTAGTAACAATGGTTATAATTAAGGTAACTATACTTATAATTGCTTATAACTCCAACTAAGGTACTTATAACCCTACTTACTAAGTCCCATGATCCTCCAAGTAGGGTTGAATTCAGGCTTTAGGGTCGTTTAGGGGTTTAGGGTTTAATTCAGGGTTTAGGGGTCCTTTAGGGGTGTAGGGTTTAGGGCTTTAGGGTTTAATTCAGGGTTTAGGGGCCCTTTAGGGTCTTGGGTTTTGGGGTGAAGAGTCGTTCAGGGTCGTTTAGGGGTTTAGGGTTTTAGGGTTTAGGGTCGTTTAGGGCTGAGGGTTTTAGGGTGTAGGGTCGCTTAGGGTTTAGGGTTTTAGGGTTTTCGGGTGCGGGGTCGCTTAGGGGCTTGGGAAGTTTAGGGTTTGGGTTAGTGCATAGGCCTTAAACCCCAACCCCGAAAGTGGACCGAAGCAAGGTCCAGGAAGTTAGGATGTGCAGTTTTCTTGGTTTGTTGCATTAGCACCTCATTGCTGCAGCAACCGCAATGCTTTGACCAGAGCGATGCAAGTAACGCAAAGCTCTGAACGGGTGATCGTAGTATGCCCTTATAGACCCCGTAGAATTATAGTACGATGTATCCCCAATCCCATTCTCCTTATAGAGTCAACAGAATCTAGTTGTCTGGTAGTTGCGAGTAGAGCTTTTTTAGGGTTCAGGATGTAGGGTTTGTGGTTTAGGGCTTGCCTTCATAGCATATTCCCCACATAGGGTACCCAGTTGCGACCTAAGTGGGTTGGCCCTGAACCCAAACCGTCCTATAGTATATGATCCCAGATCTTCCAAAACCCCTTAATTCAAGGAAAAGGCCTTAAATGATATTAGGGATCCTACTATAGTGGATATACTTTGAAGTATACCGGGGTCCTACTACAATGGATATAGCTTGCAACATGGTAGGGATCCCACTATACTACATTTTGCTTTAAACTATAGCAGCATTCCGAATATAATTTCAGGTCGATTCTTCAGTTAAGCAGATTGTGGAGGATCTGCCACGAGGGCTCAATGGCTCAGGACACGACGATGTAATCCTCAAAGGACAACTATATCAACTAGGGTTTGGGGTCAAAGAGCTTCTGACGTTTAGGGTTTAGGGTTTTATGTTTTCTTCTTCAAAGGGCACCCGCATACATGTGCTACGCCCGCTTTTTTTTCGAACCGTAAACCCCGAGCCGAGACAATTCATGGCATCTGCCACCCTTCACTTGATGATTCCCGAAGCCCTACGGTTTAGGGTTAAGGGTCTAGGGTTTAGGGTTGAGGGCAAACTCTTTAACCCTTACAAGTCTTGCTTTCCGGGGCTCTTTGATGAGAGTGTCAGCCATGTCTTTGGGACACCGTGCCCGCAGAAAATGCGGTCTACCCTGCCTTTCCGACGCTCATCTGCAGGTTGCTGAGCTCTTAGAAGCAGGGCATTTGATACCCCGTTTAGGGTTTATGGGCATCTACCCAGCTACACCCGCAAGCACTATCTTGATTCCGGTTCCCTTCTACTGCAGGCGGCTCTTCAGCCAGCATCATGACTGCCCTATTGCATAAGTTGTAACCATATGCCCGAAACCCTAGACCCCTAAACCCTTAAACCGCCGTACTTCGAAATTCATCGGTTCAGAGTTTACGGCAAGACGAACTTGAGTTGCTTTGTCCTTGTCATGAGAAGATGGACAGGATTCTAGATACCTGTGTGTGTGTGTGCATGGGGCCGGTAACTGTCAAGCTCAATGACATGTGGCCTACAAGGACAGGAGACTGCACGTGCCAACGTGGGCTTTCCTCACTTTGGCCGCGCTCTCAAAGGTTTGGAGCTCAGCTCCTCTTTGCCAGGCCGCCTTTGGAGTGGCGCCCCTGCCTGGCAAGCTGCGTAGACACGTCCCGAGACGGTACAGGGAAGGGGACGAGAGCTGGAGCTTGCGGGGTCCCGTGTCCAAACTCCTGGGTGTCGCAGAAGACGATTTCTTGGAGCAGAACTTTGGTGTTCATTGGCTCCATGCCAAAGATTCCGCGCTACATTTGCCGTTTACCGTGGAAGATTGTCTTTGGGCCGCCTCATGCAACTGCTTTCTGAATTCTAGCATCGCCTATGCTTAAGAAGGAGCAAACCCTAAACCCCAAACCCCTAAACAAAGAATGAACAGCCTAGGTCTCAGTCTGGTGTCGGATTTCGATGCGGAACTCCACGCAGAGGCGTGCTCGAAGCGAAAACTTTCATATGGGGAGCACCGAGCTGTGCTCGACGATGTCAGCAAGCGAGTGGCCTTTGGAGCGAGAGCGACACAAATTTGGAGCGGAAGCTCAGTCAACTTCTGGTCAGTGGCGATCTGCCGGACATTAGCTGGCTCGCTTGAGAGGCTAGAAGATCACAAGTACGTGGCGCAGATTCTGCGAGAGCAGCCTCTACGGTGTTCCGACGATCTCGCGAGGCACGGCAGGAACTGGACCTTCATCTTTAACAAGGCGCATGCTGCAAAGGCGGAGTTGCACTCTCTCCATCATGCCTTGTGGGCGTGCTTTGGCGTCTCAGGCGACTTCAACGTGTACTTGACTCCACCCAGTTCACAAGGTCTGGCACCACATGCCGATCGACATGACGTCTTCGTGGCGCAGCAAGAAGGAGAGAAGACATGGACCCTCCTAGAACCCGACAAAGTGAGGGTGCTGGAGAACGTCACGCTGCTGCCGGGAGACGTTCTGTACTTGCCCCAAGGCGTTCCTCACTATGCGCGCAGCGCTGGTGAGGGATCCTCCCTGCACGTCACGATGAGCGTCTACAGGGGCCACTTTACCTTTGCAGGCCTTTTGGCTGCCTGGCTCGAGGTGAGGCCATCCCAAAGGGACATGCATGGCTTCCCCTAGTCTAACTGGGAAACCCTGTATATTCAAACCCTAATCGAAAAGGCTGCAAGAACCAATTTTAAAACGCCGGAAGACACTTAGAATGCAGCCTTTCATATCGATATACACACACACATATATATATATATATGTATATGTATGTGTACATATTCACTTATTCATCTGTATACATATATTATATCTCATGCAGCTGTAAGATTAGATTCATGATCATATTTACATCTATCTCCATATCTATGCATCAGTATGTATCTGTATATCCATATCAAAAGCTATAGTTCTATGTATAAGTATATCTATACTTACATGTACACACATCGGCCTACACCCTAAACCCTAAACCTTATAGTACCCTTATAGAACCCCTTAAAGGAACGCTCAAAAAGGTGCTAAACCCCTGAACCCCTAAACCCTAAACCCTAAACGTAAACCCTAAGAGCCCCGAAAACCCCCAAGAAGGTGCAGGCCTCCGACCCCCCCAAAACCCCTTTAAACCCTAAACCCTACCCTAAACCCTCAACCCTAAACCCCCTAAACCCTAAACCCCGAAAAAGGTGCTAAACTAAACCCCTAAACCCCCTAAACCCCCTAAACCCTAAAGCCCCAAGAAGGTGCTAAGCCCCTAAACCCTAAACCCTCAACCCTAAACCCTAAAGCCCCAAAAAGGTGCAGGCCTCCGCCCATTCCGAGCTCTTCGACCTTTCCCTGGCCAATCGCATCGACGCGACGCAGACCCGGCTGACGGATCAGGGCCTTGAGGCTCCCTTGGGGCTGAGGTTTTAGGGTTTAGGGTTTAGGTTTTAGGGTTTAGGGTTTAGGGTTTAGGTTTCAGGGTTTAGTTTTTATGGTTTTGGGTTTAGTTTTTTATGGTTTTGGGTTTAGGTTTTAGGGTTTAGGGTTTAGGTTTTAGGGTTTTGGGTTTAGGCTTCAGGGTTTAGGGTTTAGGTTTTAGGGTTTAGGGTTTAGGTTTTAGGGTTTAGGGTTTAGTTTTTAGGTTTTAGGGTTTAGGTTTCAGGGTTTAGGGTTTAGGTTTTAAATGTAGGACTCAGTGTTTATAGAAATTGTATAGGATTTGGGTCCGGGGTAAGGGTTCTAAAGCCTCTGAAGAGTTTTTTGGTGAACGCCAGAAAGTTGGAACTCGGGTTTAACATGATTAGTGCTCGGATTCCCTGTGCTTTACCTTTGGGGCATGATGTTGCAACTTCATAGTTCTCCAATACCCAACCTTTAAACTTTTTGAGTTCGTATACCTTAGCAGTACTCTGAAAGTTTAACGCTTTATTTCCCTGGCTTGTTGGGCCCTAAACCCTAAACCCTAAACCCTAAACCCTAAACCCTAAAGACTTTCTGGCGTTTGCTGCAGGCTATGTGGTTTAATGTGGCTTTGGGACTTGCGGGTTTAGGCCTTGGGATTCACTCTGGGGCTGTTAACTAGGGTTTAGGGTTTAGGGTTTAGGGTTTAGGGTTTAGGGTTTAGGGTTTAGGGTTAGTGGTTCTATAGGTTCTGATGTGTCTTAGGGGTGGAGGCTTTTTGAGGCCTTGAGGTTTGGGTTTTGTTCAGGGGTTCGGGGTTTTGGGCTGTTGAGGCTTAATATAGAGGCCTGAATAATTACCACTATTATTCTCTAGGGTTCTTTATTATCAGTATACTAGAAAGGAGCCCAAACTCCTAAACCCTGAACCCCAAACCCTAAACCCAAAACCCTATTCTAACTATTAAGGCCCCCACATTCGGGGCTTATGGCTTATGAGCTTGGGGATTAGGCCTTGGGGCTCTTTTTTTTGGGGGGCGGGGTCACGCCATCTGCGGATCCCCTGAGGTTTCGTATAAGGGCCTTCTTGGGGGAGAGTAAGGCTGTAGAAGTCGAGGGCTCCATGACTTAAGGCTTTAGGTTTTTAGGGTTTAGGGTTAGGTTTTAGGGTTTAGGTTTAGGTTTCAGGGTTTTGGGTTTAGGTTTTAGGGTTTAGGGTTAGGGTTTAGGGTTAAGGCTTTAGGGTTTAGGGCCTTTTTTTGAGGGTGTGATACAGTTTCTTTAGAAGGCCCCATGTTGCTGTTAATTTCATGTTTCCATAGTCTAGCCTTGCTCACGTCTTTGGGATTTGCGGCTGGGTTCGAAAGTGCCTTTTATGGATCTAGGGTCTCTGGATTTGGGTTTAGGGTCAGGATTCCTGGATTTGGGTTTAGGGTTTATGGGTTTAGGGTTTCTGGATTTGGGGGTTCAGGGGTTGTTCTTGGAGACAAGATGCACGGTTTAGTGTTTTGAGGCTGAGGCTTGTCCTAGATGATGCAGGGAAGCGGGTTTAGTTTTCACAAACGCAGCAATTCAGGACCACAGCTGTGGTCATATTTGGAAAAGACCCGGTTTTTGGACGGCTAGTGTCGAGTAGTTCCTGGGTTTACAGAAGTGGCTCAGATTGCAAAGTTGGTTGCAGTCTCATAGTATAGGGGCCTTAATAATAAGAACAGGGTTTTGGGGCCCATTATACTATAAATGCATTAAAGGACCCTCAAAATAGTATGGTAATTTCTGAGGCCCCTAGATTAGACGTGGCCGTCGAAATAACTGCTGCTGTCGCATTGCAGGTCGGTCTGGACTGTCTCGAGACCGGTGACCCGCCATACGATAAGGGTCGTATACTCTCCCAAATATTAACCTAGATAACTGCTACCCGCAACCAAAGTACCTGATTATTGGGTCCTTTGGACCCTTCGACCCCTTCGGATACTAGTCTTCGCAGGACACTCAGTACTGACATCTCGCTCCGGCGGTGCCTACACCAAAACAGCCCTCAACCCATAAATCCGAAAGCCCAACGATCAAAGCCTAAAGTCCAACCCGAAAACCTCAACATGCACAACTAAAGTCCAACCCGAAAACCCTATGATGAACAAAGCCAAGAGGATTAATGCAAGGGCCTAAATAATTACCAATACTATGTTTTTTTTTTGTTGGGGGGGTCCTTATTATAACTACAGTAGAATCGGCCCCAAAACCCTATTCTAATTGTTAAGGCCCGTACTTTACATCTTACGGCCTGAACCGAGACACTTACTCTTCAGGAAGCCAATCGGCCTTTGCCGCCTTCTTTCTGGCCACTGCTCCGGGCTTTGGATTCCAAGGACTTCCCGAAAGGAGCTGCAGAGGCGGTTTGGGATTGGTCCTGGGGGCTTCACTATGGCCGCGACAAGTATCACAGGAGTTTGATATGCTCTATATACATATACATATACATATATTGCGACTCGGACTTTTCGAGACTTTTCGAGACTGATTATTCCGAGCCGTATATCAGGGCGTTAAGGCTTAGGCTGGAGGGCTCAAGGCAAGCGCTCGTCTAACATATATGAGCCCCTGAATAAAACAACCAACTCGAATCGGGCCTTAACTAAGAATCCCTACGGAGACTCTCTACCCTACCTGGCAAAAGCCCTACTTAAAAAAAAAACGCAGTCCATGGAAATAGGATTTAGGGGTTTAGGGTTTAGGGTTCAGGAATCCTCAACCCAAAATCCCGAAATACGAACGCCTCAATACCCGAGCACCCTGCACTTGCTTGCGGTACCCTGCAAAGAATACCCTGCTTCAACCGTCTATAGAAACCCGCTTATTCCCCAACTGCTGCACAACTAGCACAATACACTGTTACAAAACCCCTGTATAACCCTAAGCCCTAAACTCTAAACAACTAAACTACACCGTGCCTGCAAAAAACAGTCGAGTGACTGAGGCCCCTATAGTAGAACTGTGAAACCCCATAATCCCCGTAGCGAAAAAGGTATGTAGAAATGCCCTTTAAAGCAAAAGTTCAATGAAAAGACGAAGCAAAGCTATGTAAAACACTTTTCATATCGTATTTTGGCACATAAACCCAAACTTCGTAGCTAGCTTAGGGCAGCCCGCAGCGGCCCGCACAAACTACAACAAGCCCTAGACCCTGAGCCCTCAACCCAAAACCCTAAAACCCTAAGCCCTGGATTGATGGAAGCCTCCAGAGGCTGCCGTAGCCGAAGCACAGCTCCTGGCAGCGCAGCTGGCTGGGCGGCTGCGAGGGAAGAGCGAGGCCTATCAGGTTCGGCTAGGGTTTGGGGTTTGAGGTGTAGGGAGGGATTCCTCACAAGAAGCGTGTCAGAACGTTGTGTATATTTGGTCTCTACTAAGCTTGGAAGGCGACCCGTAAGCCCTAGACCCTTCGGAGGAGGGCTTTGGGGTGTTAGAGGCTTTGGGTTCGGGGTCTAATTGGGGTTTCTGTACTGAACTGTTCCTCTAAGGGTCGTGCTTTAAAGATTCCACCGGGGTATTCAGGGTCTAAGTGCATCTTAAGCGGTTTAGGGTTGAGGGTAATTAGGTGGTAAGAGACGAAACTCTGCACAGGGATCTAGGGAAACCGGTGGTTCGGTTCCCTCCGCATAGGGTTTAGGGTTTTAGGGTGTGGGGTAGAAGTTGCTGCAACAAACCCCCCAAAGCCTTAAGCCCCAACACCCTAATATAGGGGCCTTAAGACTTACCAATACTATTTTTTTTTGGGGGGGGGTCCTTATTCTAATTAGAGTATCAAGGGCCCCAAAACCCTACTCTAATTATTATGGCCCCTACACCCTAAACCCCTATAGAACCTTTTAAGGAACCTTTTAAAGGAACCCCGAAAACCCTAAACCCCTATAGAACCCTTTAAGGAACCCTTTAAAGGAACCCCGAAAACCCTAGTCGTCCCCTGACCCAAAACGGCTAAACCCTAAACCCTCAAACCCTAAACCCTAAACACTAAACCTAGAAATGCCAGGAATCCACCC